GGAGGTGTGGGGGATGGGAATGGAGCCAGGCAGAGGTGGAGAATCCTCGGGGAAGATGAACCCTAACGTGTGTGGGTGGCCAAGCCTAGAATTAGCTGATGCAGTGCAGCTGGGTAATGGAGCCTGGGCCATGGCATGGGCATGCCTAGGCCTTGGGCAGAGAACTGGGCTGGAGTAAGTGGGTGCCAACAATGATCTTGGACTGTATCTGCCCAGGCAGCTTGTCCTCCTTGCTGCGCTCAGTGTGGGGACCTCTGCAGGACAATGAGAGTACCATCAGTTTCTACACCCGCCAGATCCTGCAGGGACTCAGCTACCTGCATGACAACCACATTGTGCATCGAGACATCAAGGTAAGCCCTGTAGCTGGCTTGCTGGTTGAGGGGTGGGAGAAGGAGGGCCACAGACAGAGGTTGGCAGTTTAGACTAAGTGGGCAGACCCTTTGCAAAGAGGGGGAATTCGTCAAGGAGGTTCCTTAGACAAAGAGAGAAGTTCAGATCTGAAGCCAGACCAGGTGTCAGCTTCCAGAGGGGCATAAAGGGATGACAGGGGGAGAAAGTTGATAGAAGCAAGGGTCAGGCTAGGATTCCCAGGAGATGGGGTTTCCTGGTAGGGTATGGTCCTGGCATCAGGAACCCAGCCTGATGTCCACTGAGCACAATATCCACTCTACTCAGGGGGACAATGTTCTGATCAACACCTTCAGTGGGCTGCTCAAGATTTCTGACTTTGGCACCTCCAAGAGGTTGGCAGGCATCACACCGTGCACTGAGACCTTCACAGGTAACAGGGTGGGGTGGTGAACGGGGACGCTGACCTGGAGCAAAAGAACTCTTGGGGCCTTCCAGGGAATGGGGGTTTCTCCTAGGCATGGAGTTAGAGGCCTAATGGGGTTGAAACCCAGGGCAAGTGATTGAGCCAGGGGTGAGGTGATGGAATCAAGAATTGGAGCTTGGATAGCTGATGACAATGAGTTTAGTGCCTGAAATGGAGTCCAGAAGTGTTGATGCGGGCCAAAGTGGGTGATAGATGAGTGGATGCGGGCCAGAGTGGATGATGCAATCCAGGATATATGATGGACCTACTGTAGGTGGTCCATCGTGAATGTGATGGAGCCTAAGATGAGTGAGGAAACTCGGGGTAGATGTTTGACAACCAGGGTAGGTGATGGGAACTGTTTTGGATGATAGAGTTCAGGGTGGGTGCAGGTGGCCAGAGGATGATAGAACTCCCTGCCACCCCCACAGTGATAAAGGCTAGATGAGCATTATTGTTACTGCCCCTGTTCTAGGGACCCTTCAGTATATGGCCCCAGAAATCATTGATCAGGGCCCACGAGGGTATGGGAAGGCGGCTGACATCTGGTCACTGGGCTGCACTGTAATTGAGATGGCCACAGGTCGTCCACCCTTCCACGAGCTAGGGAGCCCACAGGCTGCCATGTTTCAGGTGAGACCCCTCAGGGCTTGGCTCATGAGGTGGGGTGGGGACAGACTTGGCTCTGAACACCTCTAAACTTTGTTTACCCTCCCTGCCGCCTCCCAGGTGGGCATGTACAAGGTGCATCCGCCAATGCCCAGTTCTCTGTCAGCCGAGGCCCAAGCCTTCCTCCTCCGAACTTTTGAGCCAGACCCCCGCCTCCGAGCCAGTGCTCAGGCACTGCTGGGGGACCCCTTCCTGCAGCCGGGGAAGAGGAGCCGCAGCCCTGGCTCCCCACGACATGCTCCACGGCCCTCAGGTACTACTCAGGTGGAGGCAGTGAGCACACTAGGGCGAGGGCAGAGGAGCTGTGGAGGTGAGAGGGCTGAAGGGGGGCCCAGGCTGACAGCCTTGTGCCTCCCTCAGATAACCCTTCAGCCAGCCCTGCTCCTTCAGCTGACTCCACCACCCAGTCCCAGACATTCCCGCGCCCTCAGGCACCTTCTCAGCACCTGCCCAGTCCCCCCAAGCGCTGCCTCAGTTATGGGGACACCAGCCAGCTCCGGTGAGAGCCCAGGGTCCTGGGATGGGTTTGCTTCATCTGGTTGTACCCTTGTACTCCCTCCAGAAAAAGCCCTCCTTGGGGACCTGGGCATCTTGACCACTTGCAAGGATGGCATTTGGTGCCTACCTCCCAAATGCTCTTACTTATATTTATTGTGCCTCTCTGTGCCGGATTCTCTTTTATCCCTGTGAGGTAGTTATTAAAGTAAAAGAGCCAGGATTCAAACGCTGGGGCGGAGATGGCGGAACGGTGTTTGCTGCCCGCCCCCTATTGGCTGCTCCCTGTTGCACCCAGGGTGCCTGAGGAGCCCGGGGCCGAGGAGCCCGCGTCCCCCGAGGAGAGTTCGGAGAGTTCGGGGCTGAGCCTGCTGCACCAAGAGAGCGAGCGCCGGGCCATGCTGGCCGCGGTGCTGGAGCAGGAGCTGCCCGCGCTGGCGGAGAATCTGCGCCTGGAGCAGGAACAGGTGGGCGGCCCGCCCCAGCGCCCCCTGGTGGTCAAGCACGGACAGGGCTCCTGCTGATGGCCTCCCCCGACTCCTCCACCGGCGTCTCTCTTGGCTCAGGTAGGAATACCCGCTGACGACCCTTCTCTTCCTTCTCAGAGTCCCCGTCTGAGCAGGAGTCATGTGGAACAGCTACTGCGCTGCCTCAGGGCGCACATCCACACTCCCAACCGCCGGCAGTTGTCTCAGGAGCTGCGGGCGCTACAAGGGCAGCTGCGGGCCCAGGGCCTTGGGCCTGCTGTTTTGCATGGACCTCTCTTCGCCTTCCCGGATGCGGTGAGAGAGCTTTCTCACAGTTAGCGCTGACCAATAATAGGTAGGGAGCTCCCTGTGCTTGGGAATGTGCAAGGACTTGATGTTGTAAGATTTTATGTCTTTCCAATGAAGAAAACCATCGGGAAAGGGACATCTGCTCAGTCCTAGCTTCTCAGCCTCTCCCTTGACTCCAAGCCTGCCCACTTAACTTGCTTGCGGCTGAAGACTTTCTAGGCCTTTCCAACTCAAACCCCACCTCTATTTGAGTTTCAGCAATCTCAGCCGCGCCTTCCTCCCTCTCCAGGTGAAACAGATCCTCCGTAGGCGCCAGATCCGCCCACACTGGATGTTCGTGCTGGACTCGCTGCTCAGCCGCGCTGTACGGGCAGCCCTGGCTGCGCTGGGCCCAGGTAGGCGGGGGAGGGGAGGGGAGCCTGCCTGCCTGGTGGCGAGGGTGTGACCCCCTTGGGGGCGTGGCGAACACAAATAAAGCCGGCAGGGGGCGTGGCCCGTGGGGGCCAGGCTTGACCTGGGCAGGAGGGAGCCGGTGGGCTCGTGACCAAATGGACATCTCCCAGACTGACACTGGCTGACGGGTGCCCAGAGCTCTGCGCCCTCCACCGGTGTCTGGGGGTCCAAATGGGAGTTCTCCCCTGCCTGAGCTCACCCCACTCGGATTGGCAGAGGGTGAGAAGGAGGCAGTCCCACCGAGATCAGAGGAGTCCAGTAAAGAAGAGGAGTCCCTGCAGAGACAGCAGGAGACCCTGGTCCAGCCAAACGGGCTTCCCAGGGAGCCCGAGCAGGATCCCCCACCTCTGATGGTGCAGCTGGGCCTCCTGCGAGCAGAGACTGATAGGTAAAGGGCCTGGAGCTTGCCCATAGCCTCTACATGAACTTCACCCCCACACCCCCTCCATTCTACTCGCCTCCTGCCTACCTACAGGCTTCGAGATGTCCTGGCTGAGAAGGAACAGGAGTGCCAGGCCCTGGTGCGACAAGCTCTACAGCGGGTGGAGGGGGAGGCCAGGACCTATGTCCCAGCCTCAGAGCCCTCAGGTGAGCGGGACCTGGCTGGAGAACACTAATGTGGGTGTGAGGCAACTTCTGGCAAGAGGCACCCCTGGGTTCACCACCTGGCTTCTCCTTGATAGCTGCTCTCACAGTGGACCAGGGCCTGGTGCAGTGGCTACAGGAACTGAGCGTGGACTCAGGCACCATCCAGACGGTGAGGGGGAGAGTGCTGGCTATCCCTGACTCCCACCAACCAAAAACCCCATCTCTGCCCATCTTTCAGCTCTTCTCACTTTCTGCCACTGATGCAGAGAATCTCAATAGTGCACAAGCACTTAGTATACCCCTCCCATTGTACAGATGAGAAAACTGAGGCCCAGAGAGGGGCATGTGATCTACCCTAGCATGTTGGTGGTAGAACAGAGCTAGTACGTGGGTCTCTGGACACATCTTTCTCTGATTTGACCTCTCCCTGTTTCTGTTTATGGGCCTTTGTCCACAATCAGCTGCTGAACCACAGCTTCACCCTCCATGCCCTGCTGACCTGTGCCACTAGAGATGACCTCATCTATACCCGCATCAGGTATGGCCTGGGCCCTCCAAGGGTGACCTGCCCTCATGCTGGCCAGATCCTGATCCCCAGCCACAGGTCTGTCTAGGTTCCTTTCTGGAAACTACAGGGACACCAGGGTCCCTTGGGGGACAGAGAGGGCATCAGGCAGATAGTGGGTACCAGAGAAAGCCCAGGGCCTTCTGACTGAGCCACATTGAGCCTGCTTCCCCCAGGGGAGGGATGATATGCCGCATCTGGAGAGCTATCTTGGCACAGCGAGCAGGATCCACGCCAGTGACCCTTGGACCCCAGGAGGCTGAATGAGAGCACCTGAGGCAGGAGGCCAGACCCATGGATGGATGGAGGAGACACAAGCAACTTCTGACACACCTGCCCCAGGACCTAGGGGCAAGTGGAGGAGGCCAGGTGGTTGGGGGGCAGGGTAGGGCCTGGGCCTAGCCCAAGTGCGGGGAACCAACCACAGAGACGCCTCAAGCTTATTGAGTACCACCAGGCAAAGACTATTAAACAGAACACTTTTGTACCCTTGGGCCTTGGCAACTTCTGAGGTATGGGGGTGGGGGTCCTGGGGCCAGCTGCCTAAGGTCTGAAGTTCCTTTACCTGGCTCCCTTCACTTCTCCAGCTCTTTTTTGCCATCATTCTCCCACCCCCAAAGCAGACATCAGCCCCCTCTTGCCCTTAGAATAGACTTTATTAACTTTAGCCCAGGGCAGGCCCTGAGATGGTGGTTGAGAGAGAGGGGTTTGGTAGGGCTTGTAGGCAGCTATGTCCTGGGGGCCAGGTTGGTTCTGAGGGGCAGAAGGCCATCCACCCACTCGCATGGCCGCTCCAGGAGTGTCTGCCACAGCCGCTTCTCCTCAGGTGTGGAATCCATCCAGGGCACCTGGAGCCCATAGCTGCTGCCTGGATGCGGGTGGGCAGGGGTGGAGGGCATGGTCACAGTGGACACCTCAGGTCCCACAGAACACCCACCTGGTCCCAGATTATGCACTTCATCTCCAGTTCTCAGTGGATACCAAAGCACAAGAAAAGGCAAAGAAGTGCCCAAGGCCACACATTGAGCCTCTGCCTCCCAGCATTGGCTCCCCACCAGGGCCCTGCCCCACTCACCAGTGCCCAGGCTGAGGCGTGTGCCCCCCAGCTGGCGGCTGGCCAGGGCCCCATGGTCCCAGAGAGAGAGCTCAGCACAGGCCTGGCGCAGGTCGGCTGGCCCAAAGCCATCATAAACCATGGTGTGGTTGAATACGGGGCTGAGGCTGCGTCGCACCACCCTTGTCCGTTGGCGGCTGGCCCGGCTGTCATCAGGCAGCACTGAGCTGTGGGGGAGGTGGGCTGGCATCAAGTGGCCACCCCTCACACTCCCCAGAACCAACCAGTTACAAGTCCTACCCATACTCCCTTACAGTGTCCATGTCCTCTGGCTCCTGCCTGAGATCTGGCCTGAAACCCTCACTACCCTATGGAACCTTTGCATCACCCTCCTCTCAGATCTCCTGCCGTTAAAAATTACAACTCTTATTCACAGGACCCCAGAGCAATGTCTCTGAAATGCAGTTCTGCTACTCCCCAGCTCAGTGATCTTCATTGGCTCCCTATTGCCTCCTAGAAGCAGTTTCCAAACTTTTGAAAGTCTTGGAGCCCTTTCTGCAGGATAAAATATTGCTCAAAGTACAAAACCTAAAAGAAAAACAATGTCTCTGGTTGAATCACTGCTGTGCACTCAGAGACCTGATCTGCCTACCTCCATTTCACTCTCTTAGGGTGGGAGGCACCCCTAGAGGTCCCCTGGAGCTTACTTTGAAAACCACTGAACTGCAAGTTCAGGGTCAAACCCCACAGCTTGGCCTTCAGGGTCCTCCATAGAAGGACCCCTGCGACCTCCCCTCACCATTGTATGTAAGTATCCGGGGATCCTGAGCGCAGAGGCACGAGGTCCTGAGCTTGCTTCACCCAGAAGTGCAGCTCCCCGCTGGGGGGCAGTCCCCTGCCTGCAGAGAGGCTCGGCTCAGCTCCTTGCGGGACAGCAGTCCCGGCCTCCCATGGCCCGTCCGTCCAGCTTGGCCTCTAGAGGGCGGTCACTCACCCTCAGAGCCGGCGGGGACGTACTTGAGGGACAGAGAGAGCAGCCCGCGGATGGGGAGGTCATCGGGAGAGGACGGGACCTGCGAGAAGCGGGCTCGTCAAGGGTCGGGGACAGGGCCCAAGGGAAAGGGGCCATAAGGGGGTGGAGTCTCCAGACACCGGTGGGGCGTGGTTAGCGGGGAGGGCGGTGTCTCTGGGGGCAGGGCCTCGAGAGACCAGCCTGGAGTCTGAGAGGGCCCCTGGAAGGCGCCGTCCGGGATCAGGCCCTCGCATGGGGCCGTCTGGGGCCGTAAGGTTTCCAGGCTGTGAGGAGGCTCTGCCGCCGGCGGTGTATGAGGCCGGATGAGGGAAAGCCCGAGGGGGTGGGGGGGAGTAAAGGCGGGAGATCTGCGCCGCGGCCCCCCCGCCCCCCGCCCCCCGCGGGCCAGCTGCCTCACCCGAGGTTGCAGGGGGAGCCAGGTGGGCTCGGAGTCCCAGTCCCACGTGTCCAGGGGCACTTCGACTTCTCCCAGAAAGATGTTGCGACCCAGGCTTTCGCGGTGCCACACGGACAGGCTCAGCACGCGGCCCCGAAGCTCAGCCTGCGGGATGGAGTACTGGGGACAGGAGGTGCGCTTTAATGGAGCACCGCTGATGACCCCGGCTTCAGTGCTGCCGGAGTGTTGACTGGGGCTTGTCCTACCAAGCTCCGTGCAGGATGGAGTCCTGGGGAGCCCCGAAGGGCATCAACGGGGGTCTGGACTAGCGCCGTGCCCTCCACTAGACTGACATACTGGAGAGCGCATTAATGGGAGGACCTCCCTGCAGAATGGAGGATTGGAGCGACGGGCAATCACGATACTATGGCTGCCCCTGACACCCAGCCCCCGCAGGAAGGGGCGTCTGGTTCATTAATGAGGGGCCGCCCGGTCGTCGCAGCCTCACCCGGAGAGTCTCGTTGAAGACCGGGTTCAGATTCCGTTTCTTCACCGCTGTCTTGCGCTTGCTCTGCTTATCAGGGAGGAGGTAGCTTTTGACGTAGCTGGGGCGGGGGAGGTGAGGACCGGAGGTAAGGGGGGGACCTTCCAGCTTTACTCCCCTGCCGGGGGAGGTCGGCGGTTCCCCAGCCACCTCGCGCAGCGCTTTACAGGAGCTATCTCATTCCACCCCCAGGACTCCCAAGAACGTTATTCCCAGTTTGAAGATGAGAAAACTGAGGCCAAGAAAAAGTGGTGGGGCTGGGAGGCGAGAGGGGCTCCCTCGCGCCCCCGCCTCGCGGGTTCGGGCACTCACGGGTCGGAGCGGCCGCGCCGGGCGGCGGCCAGGCCCTGGCACTGGATCACGTGCACGCGCAGCTCGGCGGCTCCGGGCTCGTAGCGCAGCGAGAAGTGCACGGAGCCGCGCACCTGCACCGCGCCCGCCTCCGCCTCCCCGGCCAGGCTCATCTGGCTGCCGCTCAGCTGCGGGCGCGGGGTGGGGAGTTAGGACGGGGTGCAGGGCTCACCTCGCGGCTGGGTTCAGATGCGGGGGACAGGGGGGTAAAGCGAGGCGAAGAGGTAAAGGGCACTTCGACATAGCTTGACTGGAGGCTGCAGTGTCAGGTTCAGGGTCGAAGGAGGGGTCATGCAAAGGCTATGACGGGATATGGGGAGGGGAGGTCCCCCCTCAGGCCCTCTCCCTCACCCCCTCACCGTGGAGGAGTTGAGGCTGGACACTGAGGAGCTGCTGCTGAGCATGCGGTCGAGAGAGGGGCCGGGCCCTGGGGCCTCCTCCCCGTTCTCCAGAATCTCGGCCGCCGCCTGGGTCTGGGGAGGGGGGAAGTGACCGGGGCGCCCTCTTTTTCCGAGCCCCTTCCCCGACCGCGCTCGGTCCCGGAGGGCTCGCAGCCTTGGGGAGCGCACTCCCCGCCCCGACTCCGCTCCGGGTCTTGAGAGCAGCCGCGGGCCGCTCCCGCCTACCTGGGCTGGGCGGGGCTGCGGCTCCTTCTCTCCCCGCGACGGCGCCTGCGGCTCCGGCTCCGGCTCCGGGTCCACCTCCTCGGCGTCGACCTGCGCGCCCCCTGGGCCAGGGGCTGCGGTGGAGTACAAGCTGCTGAGAGAGCCCCTTTCCGCCCGTCCCCAAGCAAATTTACAGGGACTGGTTTATAACTCCTGTGACCTGCAGATTCAGGCCCCAGAGCTGCCCTGGGGTCGCCCATGGAGACCTCCCGCCTCTCCCCCATCCCTCCCACCCCCCCAAGGCGGCAGGAGGAAGGTCAAGAAAGGTGATTGGGGTCACTTAGAGCTGCCTCTGATCCCCACAACCTGTCTGTGCTCCCCAACACACACCCTCACTTACCTTCCTGGGCCTGGGGCTCCTCCTCATGATCTGAAGCCTCTGGGGGGACATATGGTGAGGGGAAATCAGGTCCCTGAAAGAAGCAAGGGGTCACAGTGGGAGCTAGTGATGAAGGATTCAAAGATTATGACAGGGTCAGAGGTTCAGAGGCGCCAGCTGGCTACCCCAGCTTCAGATTTAGTCCAGCCCTGAGGGCAGGGCTGGCAACCAGCTGCAGGACCAGTTGGGCCTGTACTTCACACCCTATTCACACTTCAGGGTCTGCCCTGCCTGACTCCCAGCGTCCCACTGGTGGAGGACAGTAGGATCTGAGTCCTACACCTCACCCAGCCGGTCCCCACTCCACCCCTAAAAGCCAGAGTCAGAGATTCCCTCAGAGGCCAGGTCCCTCATTGGACAGAGGAGGATGACAAGCCCTGGAACAGGGTCTCCTGACTCTCAGTCTGGGACTCTTTACCCAGCACATCTCACCTCCACTCCAGGGGCACTGCCCATTCATTTAATAGCTCATTCAGTCACTCATTACGCACCTCGGCTTCCTGGCTGAGCCTCTCTTGGGGGGCCTGGCCTATGGAGAGCCTAGGAGTAGGGAAAGGTGGTTGTCAGGGATGAGACCCAAGTGACTGGTAGGCACCCTCCCCTTGCAGCCACCCTTCCTTACCTGGGTTTCAGCTGCTCTTCAGTCTCTTTCCCAGCAGCCTCAGCCTTCCTATCAATGCCCAGAGCCTGGTCTCCTGCGCACAGTGACAAATTCTGTGAACCCCCATTCTCAGGAAGTCTAGCCCTTGGAGATGCCACCCACTTCCCGTCCACCTCCCATAGCCCATGGAGGGGTGGTGCCCACCCAAAGACACACACTAGCATGGGCAGCTGGGACTGGAACCCAGGGGCCCTCTCTCCCTGTCCACATGTACCCGGTAACCCAGGCTGCATGAGGCCTGCCCTGCCCTGGGGATCTCCTCTCACCCCTGGAGCTCTTCTTCCTACGGATAGAAGCTCGGACGAGGTCAGAACCAAGGCGGGCATGGTGGTGCCGTTGGGAGCGTGCTTCCTGGAACCAGTCCCCTGTCAGAATTTTCAGCTGCCCAGGGTCTGCCAGGGAGGCCCGGAGCTTGCTGGAGGATAGGGGAGAGCGTGGCTGTCACCACTCACCCAAACAACATTCCTGCCACCCACTCTGTGCTAGGCCCTGTCCTGGGGCCAGGGACACAACAGCAAGTCAGACTTGATCCCTGCCCTGGAGGAGCTCAGGCTGGTGGGGAGCCCGAGTCCGGAATAGACAAGGACGCTATAGTGAGGTAGGTGCCATGACAGATGTGAGAAGGGCCGGCTTTGCCTGTGGGCATTCAGGAGGGCTTCCCAGAGGAGGCAACATTTGAATTGCTTCTTAATGGACAAACTGGAATTCTCCAGGTAGAGAAGGAGAATAATTATTATTCATTAAGTGACTACCGTGCATAATCTCTCCTAATTCCATGAGGTGAGTCTCCTTAGCCCCATTTTACAGATGAGGAGAGTGGTGCTCAGGTCAGGTGAGTTGCCCAAGGTTACATAGATAGGAGGTGGCTGTCTGTCCCCAAACACTACTTGTAAGTCCCATGCTCCTCTGCTGCTGTGCTCTTTCAGGAAGAAGGAACAGCCTAGAAGCGAAGGGTGGGTGTGTTCAGGGACAGTGGAGCCCCCAGGTGGCTGTGGGAGACACTGAGTATGTGTGTGTGTAGGGGTTACTGGTGGAAGATGACGTGGGGGCGGCTGGCAGGGACCAGGCAAGGAGGCCGTGTGGACCAGGCTTCGGAGCTTGCCCCTCACACGAGGTGCTGAGGAGCCGTGGAGGCTTCCAGCAGGGATATTAGGACAGATCTGGGCAGCTCCAGCCGCAGCCTGGCAGGTAGGCTGCAGGAGGCAAGCCTGGAGGTGGGGGGGCTGGCAAGGGGGCTGCTGCAGCCACCCTGGGAGAAGTGATGAGCTGAGCTGGCCAGGGGCAGAGGGAACCAAAGGGCAAAAACAAGAACTACCCAGTAATCAGGCTACATGTTAGTGGGGGCAGGTTGGAGGCCACCCCAGCCTCCCAGTGCCTGAGGCCCCTCCTCATGGGCTCCCCTGCCCTGCGTCACCTGACCCGCCCTTCCTCCAGCTGGCACAGGTGGGCATCTCGCTTCAGGACGTCGGCAATGGCCTCCTGCTCCTCCTCTGTCAGGAAGCTCAGGTCCAACAGTCCATCAGTCTCAGGCTCTGGCTCATGCGCCATGAGGCAGACTGGGGCCCAGAGCCCTTCTTGAGAAGGGTGGCCCCTCTGGGGCATCAGCTGGGGCAGTGCCCCGGCTGGGCACACGTGGCTCCCTGGGGGGAGACCAGGGGTCAGGTTAAGCCCTGCCCAAATACAGGGAACATCCTGGAGCTGACTGGCCTTTTCTGCCCAAATATATGCCAGGTGGTGGGCAGGGTACAAACCCAGGGAGGCTGAGGTCAAGGTGGCATGAGATGCACCCATGGACATATGCATACACTGGCCCATGAACATACTCAGGGACACACTCGAAGATGTGTAGAGACATACATGCACATACACTGACAAATGTAGACACAACTACCCACAGTGAGATATACACCTGGTCACATGTGCACTCTGATACCTGTACAAGGACAGGCACATGCACAGGCATTCTTCCACGAAAGGCCCTATGCAGTCATAGCCCAGTCCCAAGCCCAAACCAGGTGACACACCTAACAGTCTTAAACTGGCACACAGGCATGTGCGCACAAGGGAGACAGAACCCAGGTGGGTTCCCTGTACAAGAATAGGTCCAGGACAAAGACATGTCCCTAGATAGACACAAGTCACACAGACTTTTGCACACACACATTAGCCTCCAACTGGATTGTGAGCCCCTTGAAGGTAGGGACAGGGCCTCATCCCCAAAACCAGTACTTTGCACCCAACAGATGGTTGGTAAGCAATTGATTAATTAAATGCAGAAATACATCTGCACACACATGGGGAATGCGCACAAACACACACACACGCCCCCAGACACAAAAGCACATGCACATGATCTGCTTACCTGCCTGCCTCTGAACCTCCCAACCTGGGTCCCCTCCCTTCACCTCCACCCTACACTAGCTCATTTGGTCTTCCTGTCTGAGGCAACCTCCTCCCCAGCCCACACCCCCAACTTCCTCCCCTCTGAAGTAACCGCCACACCCACTCCCACTGAGGCCTCCAGCTCAGGGATACCCCTGCTGCCAGCGCTTCCCTCTTGCCCCAAGCCCCTGGCCTCTCTGCTCTGGCCACATGGGTCCCCCACCCCCTGACCTGGCTGGGTCCCAGTGGTGGAGGCCAAGTGCTAGCAAAGCAGCTTGGGCCGCTCAGATACCACGGTGACTCCGGAAGGAAAACATTTGCCCACGCCTGAGGGGCATGTGGACGTGGCAAGGGGCCCATGACTGGGCCATGGGCAGAGCAGAGCAGTGGCCTGAGCCCACTGGGCAGTCTCTCCTCTCCTCCCCACCCTTCCCATGCCAGGGCACCAGGCAGAGTTGTGATGGGAAGAGGGCACCTCAGCAGGCAGGTCCTGGCTTGTGCCTGCTGCCTGCACTCTGCGCCCTCCCAGATGAGTCAGTGTCCAGGCCTGAGCAAGCCCTCTCCCCTGCTTGCCCCCCTCACCCAGAACCTGGGGTTTCTGCACGTCTACTTCGGGTATTGTGTATAACACTGTGTGAATGCCTGTGTGCCTGACGTTAACAATATTTCCTGAACATCTGCTGTGTTCAAGGTGCTGGATGTTGCAAATGCACGGTTGGGGCTCTTCTGTGGCCTGGTGTGCGAGCCCATGTTGATGTCTCTGTGTTGATTGTGCCGTTGTGAGAGTCTCGGTCTGGCAGGCATGTCTGTGTACTGTGGGATCCATGTGCCTGTATATTTTGTAGGCATGAATATTGCATTACTGCATGTGTGTCTGTGTGTCATGTCACAGTGTGACACTGCATGGGTGACTACTGGCCGTGTGGTGTGTTCAGTGACTTTCTGGGTGACAGCGTTGTGAGGTGTGTGCACTGTGTGTGTATTTCCTCCTATGCTGTATGTATGACTGGGTTATAGTGTGTATTGTTGTAGTGCGTACTCTGGTGCCCCAAGGGCCACCAGGTGTGTGTGTATGAGTGTGGAGGTGGGGGGGACATTCTGCAGAGCTGACCCTGCTCTTGTCCTGCAGGTCTGCCTGGGCTGAGCTGTGGGCATCTGAGCCCAGGGTTGCCAGCAGCACCCACCTCCCTGCCGTCCCCTTTCCTTCCAGAGGCAGAATCAAGTGTCTGGTCCTCACTGCTCTGTTTCAACACTATAGGACAGACCCATTGGTCAATATAGGGTCTGTCCATCTGTCTGGCTGTTCTAGTCCTAGACACGCTCCTGCCTCCCCCACCCCAAGGTCCCAGAGGGTACTCAGGATATGAGGTGGCAGTGCCTGCCCCTTGGGACACTAGCAGGGGACTCCCAGCCCTGAGGTGTGTTACCTGTAGGGGTCCAGTATGGACGGGACGCCTTCGTAGGGTGACCCCAGCTCCCCTGGCAGCCGAGTTTCAGGGACTAGAAGAAGAGCAGTGAGGGACTAAGGCTGACTCAACAGGCAGCTCAGCCCAGTGGCTGCCCCTCAGAGGAGGAGGAAGAGGAGGAACACCTTCTCAGCAGGGCCTGATGCAAAACCGGGCCTGGATTTGGCCTCCCCAGGGGCACGCCCCAACCTCAGCTTTCAGAAAACCCAGAGCCAATTTGGTGAGTGGGAAATGCCTGGGGCTTGGCCCCAGCTCACTGCAGACTTACTCTGTGACTCCTGTAACCTCTCAGAACCTTGGCTGCTCCATGTGCAGAATGGGTAGCAGCCCCACCAGGCCCGCTGAGGAGCTGGTAGGAACTTGCTTTGAAAGCAAAGTTAGAAACCTTTCTAAGAAGCAGAGCAATGGAAGGACTGCAGACTGCAGTAAGACAACCCTGAGTAGAGTTCCTGTTCTGCCACTGTGTGACCTTACGCAGGTCTCTTAACCATTCTGAGCTGCAATTTCCTCCTATGCAAACTGTGGGCAGCAGAGTGTGAAGAACCTATTATAAGGGAAACGAAAGTGCCTGGCGCAAGCTGGCATATAGTAGGTACCAGGTGGCCCCTCTCCAACATGGTTTATTTCGACAATGACTGCCCTTCCATGTCCACGTATGCCTCCCGGGCAGGGCTGGCCACACCAGAGCTGCTCTCTCTGGTCCTTCTACCACCCTAGGCCCCATCTGTTTGAGGAGGCCTGGACTCTTCTGAGGCCAACGTGAGGCTCCTACACCCTTCTTCTGTCCATGGGGAGCCCCTCTGAGCACCCCATTCTGCTCCCAGATTCGGCCCCACCCTGAGAATAGATTTGGTCCCAAATTACCTTTGCTTCAGGACCACGAACCAAGGCCACACCAAAGCTTCCAGATGCCTCCAAGTCTGCTTCATTCCACTCTGCCTGTCCTTCCACACCCGCTGCCATGGCTTAAATATTAGAGGGTACCTCACAGACCCTCCAAGAGAGGAGGTGGGACAAGGAGTGGACTCTAAATGAAACCCCACCCTTCCTCCCCCTCATGGAACTGGCTCCCAAATGTTACCACCACTCTGAACACCTGAGGGTCCCTCCTCCAACCCCAGCCCATGGTCTGACATTCCTAGTTACTTTGTTGCAAGTCATTCTTATTTGCTGAGCCTCATCTATTAAATGGTGGTAATAATCCCTCCTCAGATGGTTTTCACTACAATTCATTGAGATCCCTAGGCCCTTAATAAATATACATATACGTTTGTATATGCAGTATCCATTGAGGGTCCGGCGTGGGAGCTGTTACTGATGCCTGCCTCCTCCGTCAAGTCTCCCTGAATGGGAGGAGAGTGACCAACAGCATCCTCACTCCTTCCCATCATCCTGTCCTGGCTTCTCCCAAGGATGTTTCTCTAGCTCCCCCCACCTCTCAGCAGCTCTCACCCCTGGAAGGCATCAAACTTCACTGTCTACTTTTCCAGCTTCTAAATTCCCTTCCTCTCTCTCATCTGTCCTTACAGCTTCAACTCTGCCGGACTCTCAATTTCCATCCAACTCTCCTGCTGTCTTCTCAACTTGAACTTCTGTATCCTCCCCACCTGAAACCTTCTCTTATTTCCAGGTTTCCACTTCTGTGAACAGCCCCCTGGCCTGGCCCCAGGTCTCCTGCTGCTTCCTGCCAGTCACCAGACTGCCTCCTCCTCTCCAGGTGCTTTCCCACCCATCGCCCAACGCCCCCCCCCCCCCCCCCCCCCCCCCCCCCCCCCCCCCCCCCCCCCCCCCCCCCCCCCCACCCCATCTCCATCACCCTTTCACTGCCCAGGTCTCAGTCCCCACCCAGCCTCTTCTGGATGCCTCCTCCTCCCTGTCTCCTGGCTTCCTGACTTGGCCCCTCCAGCCCTGGCTTGCACAATTGTCAGAGGGCCCTTTCAGCACACACCACTTTTATCTGTCATTCCTTAGCTTTGGAAGGTGCCAGCAGACAACCAGGGTAACCCTCTGACCCTTTAAAAAGTCTGCTCCAGGGGCTGGCCCCGTGGCCGAGTGGTTAAGTTTGTGTGCTCTGCTTCAGTGGCCCAGGGTTTTACCAGTTTGGATCCTGGGCGCAGACCTAGCACCACTCATCAAGCCATGCTGAGGTGGCAGCCCACATCACAGAACCAGAAGGACCTACAACTAGAATACACAACTTTGTACTGAGGGGGCTTTGGGGAGAAGGGGGGAAAATATGCTCCAAGTAGTACAGCCTCCCTTAGACACTTTCACTGGCAGAAGTCTTACCACCTCCCAAGAGAGTCCAGCCTCCTTGTGGGCTGCTCAACCCCTCAGCCCAACCCTCAGGACCCCCACCTGGCTCTGACTCTCCTTGTCTTCTGCATCCTTAGAGCCTTACCTACTGACTCTGCTTCCTGTCCCTTCAACACCCTGGTCCATTTGTGCTCCCTACTCCTCAACTGCAGAAGGCTTTTTGCCCACTCCAGGGGGCTCAACGCCTTTGCACTGTAGCTAGTCTCTAGGCAACTTTCCGCAGTTAAGAGGCCCCAGATCTGGGTTAAAATTCTGGCTCTGCCACATGGTCCCCCGTGGCCTTGGATCAATGACAATCTCTGTAAGCCTCACTCTCTCCCTTTATAAAAGAGACAATAGCAGCCATCACATAGGACTGTGTAAGAAGTGTTTCCTCTTTCTTGCCTCCAGCTTTCATTCTCCATTCTTGTCAGTCACAGCACCCCAGTCCTTTGGAGAAACAGTCCCTCCCCCATTTCCCTCCTCATGCTCCAGTGAGGCCATCTTGCAAGTGGCTCCAAGCGGAGGCTCTGGGGGCCCGGCTGCTGGATTTGAACCTGGTTCCTCTTCCTACCTGTGTGACCTTGAACAAATCACTTTACCTTTGTGTGCTTATTTCTTCATCTGTAAAATGGGGATGATAGCACCTATCTCATAGGGCTGTGGTGAGGATAAATGATACTTTATTACAAGGCCTAGCACACAGCAAGCACTCAACAACTGTCGGTGATTTTTATGGCACCTATTTATGTCCTGTCTCGCCAAGGCTAACTTAAAGTTCTGCTGGGCGGGAACAGAACTTTTTTCTATCCACTTTGCTGTGGTCCTCCACACTGGAACTTCTCCCCCAGCCAACTCTCAGATGGACCCAATATGCAAAACAGATTTTGAAAATGGAGTTGCTCTAAAGTGGGGAGGGGGTCACCTCTGCCTCACCCTGAAGAAAGCTCAGGCTTGGAAACCACAGCACTGCAGAGTCTGGGATGAGCTGACAGGCATCTGATCTAGGGCCCTGAAGGCCAGCAGCTAGAGCTGTCCTCAAGGCCATCCTCAAGATGAACACAAAGGCTCTTCAGGATTCAGAGACCAAATCCTTTGCTAGTTCCAACTAAAGTGATACACGGTATAGGGCAGGGTTAGGAAAGACTTCACCAAGGAAGTGGCTTTTAAGCTGGGCCTTGGGAAGGCAGGCCATGATTTCAACAGGTGGAAAGCAAAGGACCAGGAGTGGGCAGGTGCTGGAGAACAGGTGCTGGCCTGTCTCACTGCAGAGTAGGTGCATGGAGAGTGAGGAGCCTGCAGGGCCTGGAAAGCCAGAAAGTGGAGGTACCAAGGAACACGGCAGTGAGCAGACCATTGGGGCTCAGCCTGAGGAACATGGCAACGTGATTGATGGATATGGCGGAGGCCAGGGGCTGGGGTGATTCTCTTGGCTTATCTCAAATTGTGTACCCCTGGTTGAGGAGACAGGTCCAGGCCTCAGGTCTTCCCAGACCCAACTCCCTATCTGGCTGCCAAGTTCTTCCCAACAGGGAACATGGCAGGGGTTTCACAGTCACCTGCCTTGAGAAGAAAGCTTTGGGATACTGGACGTGGGATGGTGGAGAACTTCCACAGCCTGGGCGCAGGGTAGGACACACCAGAGGGATGCTGATGTCCATGTAATCACCAGGCACTGGACAAGGACTCAACCATGACCCAGGCAACCAGACCCCTTGCTGCAGGGGCAGGGATACCCAAGGACACCAAGAAGATAGGAGCTGAAGGGGCGAGGGGGCCACTGAAGGACAAAGCACCATCTGGAGTCAAAACTCTTTATTATCCTGCCCCAGGAGCCCACACAAAGGAATCCATGGAACAGGGAGAAGGCGGACAGCACAGCCCCTTTCCACAACTTGAAGAGAAGAGGGAGCCATGGTAGGTGGGAGGAAACAGCTCCCCTTCAGCTCCCTGATGGCACTGGCTGCTCTGACGGCCCCCCAACATCTTGGGCCCAAGGGTGCCATGACCAGCGTGAGGCCCATAGCCGGGACTGGGGCCAAGCTTTGTCTACATTGTTCTGATGGACACGGGGTCACTCTGGACATGTCAGCGTCACTCATCTCTCCAGCCTGGCTGGAGTACCCCAGGCCCCGAACTGCAGGGGCAAGTGGGCTCAAGTGCTCAGAGGCCCTGGGAGATTGGGAAGAGGGAGCTGCATGGACTGGAGGACTCCAGGAGATGGGGCACAAACCACCCCTACTGCAGCTTCTGACAAATATCCAAAGCGGGGTCCGTCCATCCTCCTGGACCATTCTAGAGGCCAGTGGTGAAGGCCCCAGGGCAGCTTAGCTTATGGAGACTTCTTGGTGTACCTGACCCACCCCGGAACCAGAGCCTCGGCAGGAGGACGGGCTCCAAATCCAGCTCTGGCTCCTGTGCTGCCTTGGCTGGTGGGTCCAAATGTCCTCCCTTCCCCTACCAAGCACTGGACTGAGGCAGGGGGAGCCCAGCAGGCAGTGGCAGGAATAGCTCTACAGAGGCAAGCTAAGGCCCTTTCAACAGACGAACAAAGAAGGTGCCTCAAGGGCAGGGGTCACAAGCCTGGGAAGCAGGGTACAGGGAGCGTCTGAGTGACCAGTGAGACACAAAAAGCAAACACCCCGCCCCATGCTCATCCTTACCCCTTATTCCAACCACCTAGCCCAAAGCCCTGGGTCAAAACCAGCAGGCCCATCCCTGCCTTTTGGGGTGAGAAAAAGAATCTGGAACCAAAAGGGGTGGCGGCTGCCTCCTCAGGAGCCTGGTGGTCCAGGGCCATGCGGTAGCCATCACCGAAGGTTAAAGACCAGGCTGATGGTTAGGATGATGCCCAGGAGGAGGACGAAGGGTAGCCAGGTCTTCACGAAGGCCCCAACACTGATGGAGAGGAGAGAGATGGGAGTGACGGTGAGAGGGGCCCAGTGAGTGGGCGTGCAGCCCAGATCCCTTCCATCCACAGACCCAGACAGGGCTGCTGCCCTCAAGCAAGTTCCTGGAACCACTCCCTCACCTCCAAACTTGGTCAATCAAGGGATTGAGCTGGGCCTGGCACCCACTACAGAGAACCACCAACTAAGGTCCTGGGCAGGGGCTGTTCCAGGCTCTTGGTGGAGATGTGACACCTTGCTAAGTGGGTACAAGAGACGTGCCCACCCTCTTTGGGCCTCACTAGCTCCATCCACAATCACCCTTTGTCTGGGGAAATGTCTCCAGTGAGAGGACCAGGAACTTGAGTCTGGGTGGAGAAGCCAGGAGTGCCCTCTGCCCACAGCCCTCATAATGGGGCCCACTGGGAGGGGAGGGGTCAGCAAGAGTTAGCACAATGTTGTGGCTGGAGCGAAAGGGCTGGAGTCAGGGCCCTGGGTTCAACTCCAGCTCTGCCTCAGTCTCTGTGTGACCAGTCTCAGCGGAACTCTGAAAGCCTTTGGACTAACAAAAAGACCCCTGAGTCTCCTTTTCAGGAGCTTGTAATGATGAATGCAGCTAGAAGAAAGGCTGGAGAGGCAGCCAGTTTAGCCTAGGTGTGTGCTGGCTCCCAAGTGGGTGGGTTACTCAACCTCTCTGAGCTCCCCTTACCTCTAAATTGGGATTGCCTTTGACCTCACAGGTTGTGAGTGTGTGGCTTCAAATGTCCTCCAAAGCCACAACTGGGGCCCACCTGCCCAGAACCCTGCCTCTTATGAGGGATCCTGGGAAGGGACCCGGTGGGATGGTCACCTACCCCTCTGTGAGGGTCTACCTCTCCATTTGACCTAAGCAAAGGGCTCTGTGGGCTCATAGCCTCCCCGAGGAGCCAAAATCATTATCCCGATTTTACCAAGGACAGTTGCAGCTTAGAGAAGCCAAGACAGTTAGGTACCCAAGATCTGTGAGCAAGTGACAGAGCTGGGCTTGGGACCCAGGTAGAGCTGGACTTTAGCCATCTCTCCCTCCACCAGAACTCATGAACCTCCATGGCTCCAAGCAGCATCTGCTTTGTCCCTGCTGGCTGAAGGACTCCAGAAACAGCCTTGCTGGGATCCCTGGGAGAGCAGCCCAAGGGAGGGCGGTGAGTGACAGGTGGATGGGCAGCTCACCTGACATACTTCCCATAGAGCAGGCAGAAGAAGCACAGCGTCACCATGTTCCAGTTGGTGCTGTTGTTGTAGCGCATCAGGTTCAGGGCCAATGCCACATGTGAGTGGCAGTTGTCACAGCAGAGATTATGCTGGAGATACAGGAAGGGTTGGGTCAGACCGGGCTGCAGGGGAGTCTCCCAGCCTCATTCCTGCCCCCAGGAGTGGTCCACCTACCATGCGGTGCTTGTACTCCTCAGAGGCATCATGCACGCCTGTGTCCCACGCATTGGGCCCACTGGCATACACCTGAGCAGGGTCCAACTTCCAGTACCTGAGGAGAGAGAGGGGGTTCTGGGCACTGGCTCAGCTCCATGAATGTTCCCTGATGCCTGCTCTGTGTAGGGCCCTGAGCTGGGTGCTGAGGCTGCAGGGGTCAGTCAGGTCCAGGGAGAGCCGTGCAGCAGACAACTGTAACACAGTGTGACATGCCCAGTGCCAGGTGGATCCTGGGGAGGATATGAACTAACTCAGTTGGGGGGTGACACCTGAGTCCAATCCGAAGAAAGAGGGATTAGCCAGGCGCAGAACAGGGACTGGGTGTTCTAGGCAGAGAGAATAGCTTGAATAGAGGTAGAGGCACAAAACTGTGCAGCGGGTACCAGAAATTAAGTAACTGGGCACTGCTGGAGGATTCAGAGGGAGGAACAGGGTGATAGGATGTTGGAAGGTGAGGCTGGAAATGCAAGTGGGGCCATGTTGTGGGGGACTCGAATGCCACCCTGAGGAACTCATCCATCAGAAAGTATTCTCCCCATCAGCCTACATGGGAGACCTGGTTGAGTGGGAGAGCAGCTGGTGGAGCTAAAGCTCATAAACCTTAAACTGAGTGAGACCCCAAAGGGTCTCAGGCCAGGGGATGCTGGGAGGTCAGAGCACCATCTGGCTGCTGTGTGGGGAATAGCTTGGTGGAGGAGCCCAGAGATATGGGACCAGTGAGAAACCAATGTGGCGTGGACTGGGGGGCTGGAGGGTTCCTTCCTGGAAATGGATGCCCTTAAAACTGTCCTGGAAAAGCAGCCTGGCAGTAGACACCCAGCCCAGAGGCCCTTGGCCCATGTTTCCACCTGCCTGTCAGGGAGCCCTGCTCCAGGCCACCTCTGCTGTGTGGGACACCAACCCCACAGGCCCCAGCCCTCCCGGGTGCAGCCTCGGGCAACAGAGCATCTGATGCTGTTCTGAGCACACTGATGACTGAGGCGTTGTCACCAGACCCACAGTGAGGTGGGTCCCCAAGACAGAGGAAACGAAGTCTCCAAATCCCAAGCAAACCAGCAATAGCTCCCAGAGGGCCTGAGCTCCAACCAGAACTTTCCAGCAGAGTTCTAAACAATGCCTCCCTTACACCTTAAATGGCGGGTTCGTTCCTCGAGGGGCAGGAGAGAGTCTAGGTTTTGGAGTGAGACAGACCTGGGTAAGTCCCAGCTCTGCCACTTCCTGTGTGATTTTGATCAAGTCCCTTCCCTTCCCTCATCCTTCCAAAGGAGTGGAAAACATGACCTTGCAGAGCTGAGGCAAGGCCTAGATGGCCTGTGGGTAAAGGACCCAGCCAGGGACTGGCACAGTAGATGGTGGACCCTGGCTGTCCCTCCCCTCTCCAGATCCTCAGGATTCTGGCTCCTGCTGTGCCCCAGAAGGCCTGGCCTGCTACTCTGGGCAGGAGGAACCTGGCCCTAGGGTCAGTCCCACAGATGTTCATCACTTACTTGGCAGGCTTCCCAAAGGCCATGTTGTCTTCCTGTTGAGGGACAAGAGCAGAGATCAGTGGGGAACCCGCATCCAGCTTGGAAGATAGACCTGGGTCGGTGGTGAAAGTGCAGTGACTTAGAAGGAGGTATGTCGGGTGGGCAGAAGTGGGGTCCGGGCCCTGCTCTGGGGCTGGCACAGTATCTGAAGTATCTTCTGTGGGAAGAAGGCAGCGCGGCAGGAGTACACAGAGCACGGGACCCAGAGACCAAAGACTTGGGGTGCCTGCTGCAACTGCGCCTTTGTGTGGCTCCTAGGTAATTCTCCCACCCTCTCTAGGACTCCTTTTCTCCAAGTTCTATGGTCAGTCTCTGATATTTTTTTTTTTTTAGAATTTTATTTTTTCCTTTTTCTCCCCAAAGCCCCCCCGGTACATAGTTGTATATTCTTCGTTGTGGGTCCTTCTAGTTGTGGCATGTGGGATGCCGCCTCAGCGTGGTTTGATGAGCAGTGCCATGTCCGCGCCCAGGATTCGAACCAACGAAACACTGGGCCGCCTGCAGCGGAGCGCGCCAACTTAACCACTCAGCCACGGGGCCAGCCCCCTCAGTCTCTGATCTTTGATCACAGGTAGGCAGTTTCCTTCATGGCATGAATGATGACACCCTCTGACCTCCTGACCCGACAGTGGTGGTCCACATGGAGCCTTTCTCTGTGTCTGGCAGTATGACTGCATTCAGAGCAGGACTGTGGGGGCTAGGGCTCGAGAGGCCTCCTTTGAGGGAGACAGTACAGCCAAGTTCTAGACCTGCCACATAAGATGTGGGATACAGGGGCTGGCCTGGTGGTGCAGCGGTTAAGTGCGTACGTTCCGCTTTGGTGGCCCGGGGTTCACCAGTTGGGATCGCAGGTGCAGACATGGCACTGCTTGGTAGGCATCCCACATATAAAGTAGAGGAAGATGGGCACGGATGTTAGCTCAGGGCCAGTCTTCCCCACCCCCCCCCCCCCAAAAAAAAAAGATGTGGGATACAGGAGTCATGCAGGGACAGATTCTGGGTTCAGAATCAGGAAGATCCTGCTGACAGCTGGTCAAAGATGAATTATCATAAAAGTATATGGCAGTGAAACTAATAGATATGAAAGACCTTTGTCATGTTAAGGTGAGCATGACAACTACCAACATAAACAGATTGGTGCCACCACACCCCTTCATTCCAGTCTCTGATAAAGATGAAGCTGGAACCTTGAAATAGGCAGGATGCTGCCTGCTCATCTGGAGCAAACTCACTGCACCCATCTTGGGCACACCCCCAGGGAAGAGACCTGAGAACACAGCTGGTTCCTTCTAGAAGGCCCACCCCTTCTTCTCCATGGCCATCCCCAGGGAACCATGTCAGCCTCCCCTGTGCCCCCACCTTGTGACTCCCACCTTCTGAAGCTCCAGAGATGTGGTTCCTGGATGGTTTGACTCTCCACTCTTGCCTCTAATCCCTACCCATGTCTCGGTACCCCAGGGGTGGACAAAGGGCTGGGTCAGTTACTTAAGAATCCTTCTGGCCACGCTGCCCTCCCGGCCTGTCCTGGAGGCAAGAGAGGGGGGAAAGGGGTCAAACATTGGTGAGGAGCAGAGGGCCAGGGAGAGGACTGCATGGTATCTGCATTCTTTTAGGTTTTGGGGAGATAGGAAAGGTGCCTACAGGCAAGACAGGCCAACCTTCCACTTAAGCCTTGGAAACCTCCAGAGTGGAGTGGAATGGGCACTCACCGAGACAAAGTAAGGGCCAGCGAAGTCCCGAATGACTCCTGTGGATGTGCAGATGCCCATGTGACCAATGATGGGGAAAAACCACCTGTGAGAAAAGAGGACAGGGAAGGAGCAGAGCTTAGGGTGCCTTTCAGCCAGTTAGACAGATGCTGGGGACACTCTATGCAGTGTTAGAACATGTGTGACTTTTGTGATGATCAAGGTGGCCAATTAGGGTGGCCAGAGGGGCTGGGGAAGCACAGAAGAGGGGCAAGAGCAAATGAAGAGCACAGTGGGATACCACAGCACCCCTACAGAATAGCTATAACTAAAAACACGACAACACGGAGTGTGGTGAGGATGAGAAGCAAACGGAACTTCACTATGGGTAACAGTATAAATTGTTTCTACCACTTTCGAACACTGACAATATACTCTACACCTCAGCAATTCCACTTCAGAGTATACACCCAACAGAAACAAATACTTGTATCCACCAAAGCCATGCAGAAGAATGTTCACAGCATCTCTCCTCAAAATAGCTGGAAACATTTGTCAAAACTCATTGAACTGCACACTTAAAATGTATGCACTTTATTGTATGGGAATTATATCTCTATAAAGTTGATTTAAAAAATAACTGGAAATAATCCAAATGTTCAACAATAGCAAAATGACTGAGTAATTTAGGGTATAGTCATACAATGAAAGGGTAGGTAACAATGAAAAAGAACAAACTTCTCCTACATACAACACAGATTCTTGTAGATATAAGGCAGAGTGAAAGAAAACTTACGCAAATGTACATACACATTATTCTGCTTACAGGAAGTTCAAGAAAAGGCAGAAGAGGTGCTAAAGGGCAAAAGAGGGGTTATTTCTGTGGTAGAAGTGACTGGGAGGGGCACAAGGCAGCCCTCTGGATACTGGAAATGTTCTCTGTCTTGACCTGGGCGACAAGAGTGTATACACACAGAAAAATTCATTGAGCCGTATACATAGGATTTGTACACTTTATATTTTATACCTCAATAAAAAAGTTAAAAAAAATAGGTGGAGAAAGGCATTTAAACCAATCTGTGGGTGTGGGGGAATTCAGGCAAGTCTTCCCTGAGGAAATAATGAAGAAATAGTAGGTGCAAGGGTAGAGATCAGGACAAAAGCATGGTGTAGTCCAAGAACTAAAAGTTCAAATTCTTAAAAGCCATGGGCATTTTTACAAGACCAAATCTCAGATGGACCCCGATAGGCAAAACACACAGGAACCCAGATCTGCCTGTAGTCTGAGAACCACGGCTCTACAGGGCCTAGGTGCTGGAGGGACTGATCCAGGTTAAGGACTCACGGGAAAAGACTCATGGGGCCAGCGGTCAAGTGCTGGTCTGAAGGCTGCACCCTGTTAAGGAGGTCAAGGCAAAACCTACACAGATGCAGCTCAAGGAAGCTTTTCTGTGGGGCTGGGGCAGTCAGCAAAGACTTCACAGAGAGGGTGACTTTTAACCTTGACCTGTGAAAGGACAGAATGTCAAGAGGCAGGAAGCAAAACTTCGAAGCAGCAAAGTGGTGCATGTGTCTGGAGAATGGGAGTGGGACTGGAGTGGGCAGTTCAGAGGCTATTCTGGAATACTGACAAGAGATGATGGTGATCCTGACCAGAGTATTGGTGGTGGGATGGTGAGAAGCAGATGGATTCAAAAGATCTTTTTTCTTCTTCTTCTTCTCCCCAAAGCCCCCCAGTACATAGTTGTATATTCAGTTGCTGGTCCTTCTGGTTGTGCTATGTGGGATGCTGCCTCAGCACGGCCTGACGAGCGGTGCTAGGTCCATGCCCAGGATCCAAACCTGCTAAACCCTGGGCCACCGAAGTGGAGTACGCGAACTTAACCACTGGGCCATGGGGCGGGCCCCTCAAAAGATCTTTAAAAGGAAGACTGGGCAATTTTATGACGACAGTATAGAAGTCTTCCGGGTCTGCAGCCTGAGCACCTGAAAGGATGGTGGGGCCAGAGTGGTCTTTTGAGAACAAACTTCAGATTCCATCATCCTCTTGCTTAATATTCATTAACAGCTTCCTATTACACTTATACCTCAAACTCCCCCAACAGTTTGGCCCAGTCACCTCACTCCTCTCTCTAGCTACGTGGCCCACTTCTGGTTCCTCAAACACGCCAATTCCTCCTCACTGCTTTTTCTGGCATTTGCCCAGCCCAGAACACTCTTCCCCTAGACCTTTGCACACCTGGCTGCTTCTCAGCATTTAGGCCTCAGCTCAACTGTCAACATCAGAGGTCTTTCCTGACCATGCCTTCTAGAGTAGCCACACACAACCCTAGGCACCCCAGACCCCATTACTCTGCTCTAATTTCTTCCTAGGATCTACTACTATCTGAAATTATCTTGTTTACTTGCACGGTTACTGTCTGTCTTTCCCCACTCGTGTGTAAGCTCCAAGAAAGCAGGGATTTTCTCTTATTTATTAGCCTAGCTCCCGGGCAGTGCCTGGCACACAGCTAGAGCAAAGTACTCATTACTAAATGATCAATGAATGAATGTCCTGCATTTAAGAGTGGCGTCAGGCTCTGAAGTCAAACCTGGGTTGAGTCTTAACTTTGTTTTGGGCAAGTTACTCATTCCTACCTCTGTCAGTGAGAGGCAGATAGCAATAATTACCTCAGTGGGGGGAGGGGCTATTGTGAGGATGAAATAGGACATGCTTGCGAAGTACTTAGCACACTTCCTTGCACTTGGTAGTTGCTCAATGCTGTCATCATGAGGTGTTCAATAAATACTTGCTATCTGATTGGCTGGACTGGCGTAGAATAAGTTGCTGAAGACCCACAGTGGCCACAGGACACTCAGAATTATGGGAAAGTAGATGCTCTGGCTTCTCAGACTCTGATCTCAGGACCCATCCCCCTCTCCTGCTCCCCACTCCCCAATTCTTTTCATCTGGCTGGAGAGAAGGTCTGGGTTTGACCAGTATTTCACATACCACAGCTGTGCCAGCAGCTGCTGATGGAAATTAAGAGTAAAGGCTGGAGACAACAGCAGAGCCCTGTGCTGGGGAAGCCCCACAGAGGAAACTCTCAAAGTTTCTTCTATTTACTGAATGAATGAACAAATAAGTTACTGACCCTGGAGCTCTATCTGGGAAGGTAGACTACGTCAGTAGAAAAAGCCTGACGCCGGCTTCTAAGCCTTTATTTCCTCATCTATAAAAATGGGACGACAGTATCTATTTTCATTGGGTTGATGTAAGGACTGAACAAGAGAGTGAATATAAAATGTTTAGAATAGAGCCCAGAGTAAGTATCCATCTTAGCTGTTTTTATTAGTAACAGTAGATATTATCTGGCTTTTTATGCTTAATTATCAACATCTCTTGAGGGAGTGGACAAATCTTCGGACTCAGTTGCCTCCTCTCTGATCCTCCGTCCAAGGACACACGACAGTTCCTTGTGCCACATCTAGTCCTAGTTCTGCACTCCAGGTCAGCAATCATCACAAGGCACTATGATGGTTAGTTCACTTGTCTCTCTCCTGCTGGAGGGTGAGTCCTTTGATGGGAACATGAGCCCTTTGACAGGGGCACTATGGCTCGTTCATCTTGGTCTTATGAACACCTGTACACAGATCTGAATAGAAATGGGGTGTGAGCTGCTTCTGGCCTAGATGATTGGGGATTGTGGTGCCTCTATCTCATGATGCTACCAGCTTTCTGAAGAGCAGAGGACCGCACAAATGTGTTATTGAGAATAGAGAAAACCCAGAGATCTTAGGATAGTAAGAAAGGTTTTAGCAAAGCCAATATATTCCCTGACTATCCCTCCCAGGTATTCTCACATTAACATTTTTTTCTTCATAGCACTAATCACTATCAGCAGTTCTCTTATTAACTTACTGCGTATCTCCTTCTACCATGACTTAAACTCTGTCACAGCATCATATCTGCTTTATTTACGACTGTATATTCTTATCACCTAAAACTACTCTAGGCACTTAGGAGTCACTTAGCAAATGTGTTAAAAGAACACTGAATGAATCAACGAACACTCTCCTAAAAATTTTATTTCTAAAGGACTCAGACTTGGATGTTCTTAAGCAAATGCATAAGCATCTTAAAATGCAAAACAACTTAAGTATTTTAACATTAATACAAAAATTAAGGTCGTTTTAGGATCAGCAACATATAAGGCCAAAAACGATCCCTTCTCCACACCACTTGGCTGTTTTTGAAAGAAGGAAAAAAATCTATCCCATCAGGTGAGAGTGGATAGGATGCAGTCATAAGAGAGCAAGTTATGGAGTCAGAAGACTGAGTTTGGGACACATTTGCTTATAGAGTGTAAACCTGATCAAGACATTAATGGTACAGGAAGCTCAGCTTCATCATCTGAGAAGAGAATTCGTACCTTAGAAAGTGGCTGTGAAATTCAGAGAAAATGGGTGTGAAAGAGCTTGGTCAACTGTCCAACACTGTGAGGAGGAGTTATTATCAGCTATCAAGGTTGAAGCAGGAGGGCAAACAAGCTCCCCCCACCCAGGAGCTGCGGGCTAAAAGGCAGCAGCACTACCAGAAAACCTGCTCTCTCTCCTGACAAAGGCTAATGCCGTAGAAAGACCTTGGTCTGGGAGGCAGACACCCCAGGACCTAAATCCGTTTTGCAACTGAGATGGTGGTCCTTCCAATGGTGACATCCAGGAGCCAGTGTGGTCCCAACCAAACTCCCACTTGCCTCTAGACCCACCAGGACGTCTTGCGTACGGGAAGTAATCAGCAAGCATTTGCTCAACGAATGAACAAACCAGTGAATACTGAAGACGTCTCCTCAGACCAGGTTAGGGGCCCCTCTTCTGCACGCCCACAGGTCCTGAGCTTGCCAGCCACAGAACCTTTCCCGCCGGCCTACAACTGTCCTTCTCCTCGACTAGACCAGGTGTGAGGAGGGCGGGGAGCGTGCTCCATCCGTCCGCAGAAACCGGCACCGCGCGGGTAGCGGGGTTCTGATGCCTGGGTGAGGCGTGAGGGCCAGACCCGAGGGAAAGGATTGTTGCGCGACCGGGCCGGAAGCTGGCCCGGGGCCGCCCGAGGTTGCCGCGCGGGCCACGGCTCTTTCCGACCCTGGAGACTCACGTGAGCACCGGGATGGGCGTCCACACCACGCAGTAGGGGAAGCGGCTCCGCTCCACGTCCATGGCGCCGCCGCCCGAGCCGCTAAATTGCTTCTTGTCCGTCTCGGCCGCCGTCGGCACCTCCACTTCCGCCATTCCGGGCGGGGGTGGCGGCGGTGGCAACAGGAGCGGCGAACTCCCTTCCGCTTCCGCCATGGTGCGCTAGCCCCGCTCCGGCCGGCCCCTGCTCCGGCGCCTCTCGCCGTGGCGTCACTTCCCGCAGATGGGGGTCCGCCCGGTTTGGCCTTCCCCCCGGGAATTGAAGCCCGGTCCCTCTGGGCCCTGCCTGCTTGGCCCCCCTCCTTCTGCGCCCGCCAGCCCCGCGTGTTTGTGCCTACACTGTACGGCTGCGGAAGGGATGCCCTCAGGCAGCGCTCAGTCTAGCGCAGGAGACCAACCAAGAACTCTATAATTCAGTACGCTGGGGGCTCCTAAAAGGTGTAGTGCAGTCGTTATTTATTTAGCACTTCTTAGGTGCCAAGCACTTGACATACATTGTTTTTAATCCCCATAATTAGACATGCGAATTTAGGTTATTTTCTCCAGGTTACAAGTGAGAAACTGAGGCTCAAGCGGTGAGGTGAGTGGCCACGTCTCAAACCCAAGTTTGTCCCTCTTGTCCTTTTCATCGTGTGATCTTTCACGAGGTAGTGGTAGCATAAAAGGACAGACTGAAATATTGTGTGTAGAAGCAGGGGAGATTTGCCTGAAGATATTTGAGCTGAGTCGATGTTTGCCAGCTGGCACGGGTGTGGGGGTGGAGGGATGCGTGCAGCCGTGCAAAGAAAGGCCTTGCAGAGCACAGCGTGCAGGAGTGTGAATATCACCTTGGCTGGAGTAAGTCACAAGCCTTAGATGTGATCCGATCCCTTCATTGTATAAATGGGAAAACTGAGGCTCAGGGAAGGGAAGTAGTAATTGTCTGAGATCACACACAATCATATAAAGAAGCCAAGCTGCAATCTTGGATTCTTTGGGCTTTTTAAAGAATGCCAAAATAGATAAAGAAAATGGAATCTGCTAGGGTGGAAAGGGGTAATGGAGGGACAAGAAGGAAGGCAGCAGCTAAAAATCAGGCTAGAGGGAGGTACGGACAAATCCATTCAGGAAGGTGGGAGCCATACCTTTTGGGGGAGGTCTTTCTTCTGTTCAATTACCCTCCCTCCATGCTGATCTGTAGAAAGCCTGCTGTCCTGTTTTTAGCACCTAATATTTTAATGCCTTTTGGGGGGTATGTCTGTCTCTGTTATGGAACTCTAAGGTCCTTGATTTCAGTAGCTAGCACAGTTCCTAGGGCAGAGCAGATGCCTACTAGATGTTTATTGACTGGATGTTTTATAAAGGCCTCATAGATATCAGAGCTGAAAGGATTCTAACCCACTCAAAATTCTTTGAGTATATTTGTGCCTCTCCTGTGACTCAGGTGTAGTGTGTGATCCTTGAAGAGCAACAACCAGCGTCTAGCACAGGGTTTGGAGCAGATTAGGAGTGCAGTATATTTGTTGAATGAATAAATTGCATTATCTCTTGACTCAGTCACTATAACTATCTAATCTCTTCTGGATCACAGGCTCTGAGGAAGGTCTTACATGTTCCTCTACCATCACTATCAACCGGTAATTCTAGCACAGGGCTGGTGGGTGCTCTTTAAACATTTATTGTATGTATGGATGAATAAACAACTAAAGTCAGTCTTTCTTAGGGCCTGCCACAAATCTGGTAGTACTAACACAAGTACTGCATTTCATCTGACAACCTTCAGTGGCTTCCCATTGTACTTCGAATAAAACACAAATATGTTACCATGGCTTATAAGGTCCTGCATCTGGACCATGCCCTTTTCTTACTTGTTCACTATACTACAGCCATCCTAGTCTTTTTTCAGTTCCTCTCATGTGCATGCTCTTTCATTCCCTAGGAACTTGGCATTGTTCTCCTCTGCCTGAAATGCCTCCCCCTGCTTAAACTGGCTAACTCCCACTCATCCTTCTGGTCTCAGATTGTTACTTTTCTCAGAGAGTCCTTCCCTGGCCACCCAGCCTAATTAGAAAGCCCCTGTTAATCTCCCTTGGAACACCTTGTTCTTTTCCTTCATAGCACATATGTACTGTGGGACTCCCCCACTAGGCTGGAAACTCCTTGAGGGCAGAGACTATATTTGTCTTGTTCATGTCTGTAAACCCAATGCCTTGTAGTGTCTAGCACATAGCATTTGCTTAATAAATATTTGTACATGGAATGAATCGCAAATACTTACAAGGTTGGTGTCACATGCTGGCTACAATCTGAGGGCAGGAACCGAGTTTATCACCTGCTACCTCTTGGTGCCCCTAGGTTTTTTAAGGGGCCCATGGAGGTTGGTGGGCACAGTGCTCAGGAGTAGGGTCTGACTAGAGAGCCCTGGCTCCCCTCCCTATAGCCTGCACCATCCTACTCTTGAGCTACACAGCTGCAGAAGCAGAAACATGAGGAGGGCTAGGTATCTGGAGGGAGAAGCTAGCTCCTTCTCTGGCTGCTCTGGGGCCTCTCTCCTAGGCTTGTCCTCCACCACAGCCTGTCCACCAGGGCCCCTTCACACGTACACATCACCTTGGTTCTCTCACCCAATGTGAAAGCCTCCCTGGCCTGTGCCCTTGCCTCCTCTGCTGCTGCCACCCTGTCACCCACAGACAGATGGGAAATCTCCATCAAAGACTAACCCTTCCTTCCAGGCTCAGAGGATCACAGCAGGGTCCTGGAAGAAGCTCCTCTAACAGTGAGCTCAGGAAAGGATTGATAGGGCTCACAGCTACCCCTCCCCCCAACACACACACCGACCTAAAATAGGAATGACCATCTGGATCCACTTACAGGGCTGGCTGGGGGAGGGAAGGATGGCAGAGCTGGAACTGTCAAGATGGGAAAGCTTCGAGGGTAAGATGCTGCTTGTTTGAAGGGTGAACTCGGGGCACATCCTGTCTTGGTGGGAGTCTGGGCACCCCCTCAACTGGCCCCATGTACGAGTTGCCAGGGCTTACATACTAAGTCTCTTCCCTCATCTCAGCATTGGAGGCCCCCATGGTCTGGCCCCAAACTCCAACCTTCTTTTCCAGCCACACCTCTCACTCTCTCCCTTGGGACTTGCTTGGAGTAAACCTCACTGGGCTGTCTGCCCTTCAGAGAATGAGCCCTGCACTTCCTGCCTCGTGTCTTTGCTCACACTGTTCCTTTAGCAGAATGCCCTTCCCCTGCTCTCCTATACCACCTTCAAGGTTTCTGGCAAATTCTGCCTCTTTGCTCCCAGAGCACGAAGGCTGTGTTCCTACCTATTGAATATTCATGTGTACTTGCATTAGCATTAGCTGTTTACATGTCTGTCTCCCCCAAGAGACTGTAAACTCCTTGAGAAGGGGACTGACTGGATCTATTGGTCCCTGTAGCCAGCACAGCACCTGGCAGATAAGAAGTGCTCAGGAATGTCACTGGAGCTATTTGTTAACCATAGATGGTCTCCTTAAGGGCTCCGGGGAAGAATCACCTCAATCAATAACCCAGAGAAGCAGGGGCGAGCCGGGGCGACTGCGGTGCAGGTTGGAGGAACTGCTGGGTGTGATGCAGTGTGTGTGTGTGTGTGTGTGTGTGGAGTGTGAGAGGGCAGTGTCCTCTCTTCTGCAGCCTTTCTGCTTCTCCGTTCATTACCTTCTCTGGCTCCTGGAGACTGGGATTCTCCCCATTAAGCCCTAAACTGTCTTCCAGGATGGCTCCAACTCTCTGTGGTGGCAAGGGGCCATTTTGAGAACAGACCCTCTGACCCTTTAGAGATCAGTTTACAAAACAACTTTCTTCTCCATTCCATTTTGTAGATGGGCAGACTTACCCAAGAAATTAGAAAGCGCAGCTAGGACCAGAATGGAAGTACCCTACTCCCAGGTGGGCAGTAAAGCATTCAGGAGTCAGTCAGCAAGCCCAGTGTTTGAACCTTTTCTCTGTCAGGGTCATCATACCTTGGGAAAGTAACTGAACCTGTCAGGGCATCAGTTTCCTCATCTTTAAAATGGGAAATGATAATTCACATCTTGTAGGGTTTTTGTAAGGTTTATTTGATAGGCTATACCAGAACAGTTCATGGCCCAAAATAAACACTCACTGTTAGCTATTATAGCAGTTAAAACCACACATCTCTATTGTAGGACTCTTAACCACTTAAAAAGCACTTTGATGCACATAATCTCACTCTGATTTGGAGCCTCCTTACAATGCGGTGAAGTAACCAGAGCAGGTATCGTGACACCCATTTTACTGATGAGGAAAATGCACCTGGGGAGAGCTTCAGGAACTTTCCTGAGGTCTAAGCATATATTAGACAGAGTTGGGGTTCTGAACCTCAACTCTGGGCTGTCTCTGCTGGTGACCACTTTTAGGGCCATTAAAGAATGAGGCCAAGACCAGCCTGAGATTCTGTAAATCACCATAAAACTATGCAAACTATGGCATCATTAGGACTAGGACCTATTTTATATATATAAAAAGAAGTGGGTCGGGCACAGGAGGCAGAAGAACAAGGCCAAACAATAGAGTGCCTCATGGCTGCCATTGTGGCACTCGCCTCTCACTAGACACAGGGCTTGGCACACGGCAGGGCATTTGATGGCAGAATATACTGGGGAGGACTCATGGTCCCAGTGAAATCCAACATTCAGGGACCATGAACAACCTCTGTACTTGCTATTCCACATTTTCCACATTTTCCAGATAATGTGGAGGCTCCAGGAGGGCAGGGACTAGTCTGCTGCGTGCATTTTCATTAAGCCAGTGACAGGACATAGGAGGAGCTCAAAAAGTATCATGACACCAAATAAGAAAGTGATTTTTAAAGAACTGGACCAAGAGTCAGAGATTAAGGATCCATTCCTGGTTTTGCTTCTAATTCACTGGGGTCCTTAGGCAGCCCATCCCTTTCTACTGCCCCTTTGGAACTCATTGTCCCTGTTTGTACAGTGTGGACATGGGGCTAGATCAGTGTTTCTCAGCTCTGGCCATACATGAAAATGAATCCTAGGTGCTTTAAAATAATGGATGGATGCCTGGGCCCCACCTTAGACTAATTAAAACAGAATCTCTGGGTGGGGCACTGGTAATTTTTAATGTATCCTGGGCGATTCTGATGTATACCCAGGGATGAGAGCCTCCAA